TGTTGTTAGCTGGGCTTGATGCCGTGTTTGGGGCCTTGTGCCGACTTATATAATCCTTCAGGGATTGATATGGGCTTTATGCCGTGTTTGGGGCCTTGTACCGACCTGCAGAATCCTTCAGGGATTTCTGGACTGTATTAGCATGACCTGTCTATTGAACGAAAGTAGAGCTGAACTCTGACATTATAAATTGACATGATCTAGCATGATTTATGAATATAAATGAAAGAAAAGGGTTTCTAGTCAATAACTGAAATGAAAGATCTCATTAAACGAAATAATTGACTGGCTTGATTGCATATGCATCGGATCGGGCTGCACGTTCCGCAGCAGTATATATGATGGATCGGACTGCACGTTCCGCACTATTGGATCGGGCTGCACGTACCGCAGCGGGCATGCATTGCATTGCATCTCATGCATATTTTGTTAATCTATTGTTTCTGTAAGATTCTTGCTGTACATTGTTGTAGAGATAGAAGAAGGGATAGCTGTACACAGTGTTACATCTGGTTTTCTTTCCTTCGAGTTATTATTTACTTTCATTACTTACTGAGTTGGTAGACTCACCCCCTACTCCCTGCACCTTGTGTGCAGATTCAGGTACCGCTGAGCTCCAGCCGCATCGGAGTTGACTTCCCAGAGCTGATTTCCTAAGTACTGAGGTAGCTGCTGTCTCCCGCAGGACCCAGTTCCTCTGATTCCATTTAGTTCATTTCTTTCTGTATAAGACAATGTATTTACTCTTCTATCACTGTATTCGGATCATGTAGAGGCTCTATGCTTGTGACCCCTTGGTTCTGGGGATTTATGGAATATTTTTCTCTGTTTGGTTCTTATTTATGGCAGAAACTTGATCTGTTCGCAGTTTGTTGTATTTTGGGCTATTATGCCGGTGTTTGGATTGGAATGGTCGGGCTTGCCCAGCCTTGCGGCAGGGCGCCATCACGACCGGGATTTGGGGTCGTGACATGTACTAATTAGCGTGTTTTTTCGTATACTTGTCCGATGCACGGATGAATATTGATTTGGGGGTTACGCTTTTTTAATTTCCACTATTCGTTATCAGTTGTTAATACCGTCCCAATATATTCACCCTCTAATTTTTTTTTTCTTTTCTTCTGTTCTCTCTAGCTAATACTTTTTTGATTGTGAGGCTACTCTACCTCTTCCTCTTCCCGCTCATGGACATGTATTAGTTCCTTTTTTTCTTTCCTTTTTCTGTTGAGACGAGAAAAAATGCCGTTGAAGTATTTTCTATGTCCTTGCATTTTTTTTAGTGATTATGACAATTTTTAAAGCTATCTTTCGTCCTTTCTCTTTTTGTAAAGTCTCTTTGCTTGTGGCTTCTGTGTACTTCATCTCTTCTTTTTGTAACTGAGTTGGTCTTTTAGCTAACTTTTTGGAAATTTACCAGAAAATTGGGAGATGAAAATTGAAGGAGATATGTAGGCAGAAGTAAAGTTTATAAACTTTTGGTGTAATTTTCAGTGTGGCTGAAGGGGATGAAATAGTAGCTGAAGTAAAAGGAGAGAGGGACAAAAGAGGAGGAAAAAGAGTGATAGTACCGAAAAAAATATGTGTCATGCGTAAGTTAACAAAACAAACCTTGAATGACGATAAATCATACAACAACAAAAGAATATATCAAATTGACACAAATATTTAACGGGGTTCGGTCAACTAACCTACATTCATAGGAAGAGATGAGCAATCCATTATATAAAAAGAGAGTACAAAATATCAAGAGAATAACCTCACGAAGAGGAAAACTCACTAACACTTGTCCCATAAAGTTCTTCCCCTAAACACGGCTCTCAAATCCTATATAGCTACATTGTAGATGCCACTGAATAAGAAGGAAGGATCCTCAATTTATAGAAGTCCAAATATTTTCCTACAAGAATGTATTGGGAAAAAACTGAATTAATATTTATGATGATGTGGCAGGACACGTGGTTTAGTCAAAGAGTCAACAGGCAACAATCATCCAAGAGGTACGAGTATCAATAGGTACAGGAAGAAGACTTCAAATAGGCACGGGCCATAATTCAAATATGTAACTCGTACCTATCCACAACATTGAAGACCGAAGATTCGTAGGAAATTGAATATTGTGAATCTGACAACACGAAATGGTCCAAATATAGTATTGAATGCCATATACGTAATGAAATCAATATTTAATAGCAATGATTGTGTAACGCCTCATTTAATGTCTGTTATTACTATTATGAGCCGTTACCTCGTATTGAGTATAAAAAGAGGAGGTCTTATCATTTGTAAAGGACACGAGATACTTGAGATTATATCAAATTATTACTTTCTTTTCTGCTTATCACTACTACTTAAAAGTTCTTTTATTTTTGTCTGCTGATTATCAGTGACCTGATATTTTATATTAAAATTCAAGCTTTAGCCATAGAACTATTTTTTGGTTAAACAAATTGGTTCCGTTACCGGGAATCTAATAATCAAATTTTCTAACATACATCACTCGTTGTCATAACCATGGCAAACACCAATGAGATCATTCCTGCAAATCAAACAGGACAGGAACGTGCTGGTCAACAAGAAGATCAACATGGAGATCAGCACAGTGATCAACATGATGGCCATTACGATCAACATGACACTCCATCACGTCATAATTCTCCACGTGGGAATCGTACTCCTAATGATGAATCTGGTCTGAGTGGAAATGCAACTGTTAATGAAATAGTGGATGCACGGGTCGAAAGAGCTTTGGAAGCTATACTCAGAAGACTACCTGCTGCACCACCAATTCCAAATGATAATATATTGGAAAATCCTCATTCAGGTTTGATCAATTCTGGCACAGTTCCAAGCGAATCGCACGAAGGTGAACCAAGTACTTCTTCTATTTCTTATTGGCAAAATTTAGTACTAACCTTGCAGCAACAACTTAAGGAATAAAATGAACGCATCGAGCAAATTCCTGGAGTTCCACCAGTAATCAAGGGAATGGATATGGACAAATATTCTCAACAACCCTGGAAAGCAGCGGCTGCTCCACTGCTAATTCCTAAGAAGTTTAAAATGCCTGGTATCCCAAAGTATGATGGTACATCAGATCCGCGTGACCATGTGACAGCATATACAACTAGTGTGAAAGGCAACGATTTAACTAAACAGGAAATTGAATCGGTGCTAGTGAAGAAATTTGGTGAAACACTCACCAAGGGTGCGCTAACCTGGTATTCTCTGTTACCCGAAAATTCTATAAATTCTTTTGCTGAGCTTGCAGATTCTTTTATAAAAGCACACTCGGGAGCGCAAAAGATTGAGAAAGGAATGGAGGATATCTTCAAAATCAAGGAGATTCTAAGCTACTTAGAGATTTTGTTGATAGATTTCAGCGTGAGAGGATGACTTTACCGCATGTACTTGATAATTGGGCAGCAATAGCCTTTGCAAGCAACTTGAACGACAAAAGCTCGTGGCTGAGCGCAAAAGATTGAGAAAGGAATGGAGGATATCTTCAAAATCAAGGAGATTCTAAGCTACTTAGAGATTTTGTTGATAGATTTCAGCGTGAGAGGATGACTTTACCGCATGTACCTGATAATTGGGCAGCAATAGCCTTTGCAAGCAACTTGAACGACAAAAGCTCAGAAGCCACGAGAAGACTTAAAGAAAGCCTTCGTGAATTTTTTGCTACCACTTGGAATGATGTTTACAACAGGTACAGTACGAATCTCAGAATTGAAGAAGATACCGTGCCTCAACATCAACATGAAGAAAGAAGCGGATCCCGAAGGTCTGAAGCTGAGAAAAGATCAGGTAAACGTAGATACGAACCTTATATGGCACCTGCAGGTAGGGATTCAAGAGTAAAGCAAGACAATCAACGATATGACCAAAGACCAAGAAACAGGGATGTCACATCTTCTTCTAGATTCAGAGGAGATCGAAACAACCAGGAGCCACGGAATGATGATAGAAGCCCAAGAGCACGGATCGCTGGTTATAATTTCAACGTATCTGATTCAGAATTAGTAGCTGTCCTAAGAAGTATGTGTGACAAGGTATGGTGGCCAAAGTAGATGCGGTCAAATCAAAATAGATGCAATCCCGATCATTGGTGTGAATTCCACAACGACCATGGGCATAAAACATCGGAATGCAAATTTCTGCAAAGTGAGGTAGATCATTTACTAAAGCAAGGATATCTCACTGAATTGTTTAGTGAAAAAGGGAAGCAGACCTATATGAAGAATAGGCAGGAGCCACCAAAACCACCATCACCCAAAAGAATCGTAAATGTTATCAGTGGAGGCGAAGACATTTATGGAGTAACATATACAGCTGCAAACAAGGTTTCAAAAACGACGATTACACATGGGAAACAACTATGGCAAACCTTAGAGCAAGAAAGCATTACTTTTGATGATTTAGACATGGAAGTAGTCATGACCCCCCACAATAACGCCCTGGTAATATCTTTAATTATACATGATACTAATGTAAAAAGAGTTTTGATTGATCCAGAAAGTTCTGCAAATATCATTCTCCTAAGGGTGATACGGGAAATGCAAATAGAAGATAAGATGATCCCAAAAGCCCGTACCTTGAGCGGATTCAACAATTCAAACGTCATAACTAAAGGTGAGGTAACACTAACAACGTTTGCAGAAGGTGTTACAAAAGAAACTAAATTTCAAGTGGTGGAAATGGAGATGGCATATAATGTAATTATGGGAAGACCATGGATTCATGATATGGATGCTGTCCCATCAACCTTGTATCAAGTCATAAAGTTCCCATCACCATAGGGGATTTGCAAAATACGTGGGGAGCAGCTTACAGCAAGGAACATTAACGCTATAACAGATACGAGCACCCCAAATAAAGAAAAATAGCAATTGTAGAATGCAGCTGAGGATCTCATGATTCAAAAATCAGCTGAGCAGGAACGAACCGATTTAGATTCAAGACCTGACGTAATACAAGAACCCGAGGAAAACAAAAATATCAAAATGACGATAGAAGAGCTCGAAGCTGTGGTGTTGTTTGAACAATGGCCTGAACGAATGATATACGTGGGTGCCAACTTAAGTTCCGAAAGACGAGGTATGATAATCGAATTTTTTAAAAACTAATGTGGACTGTTTTGCTTGGTCCCATGTTGACATGACAGCTATACCACCGCACGTGATAACTTATAAACTCAACGAAGACCCATCCTTTACTTCAATCAAGCAAAAGAAAAGGAAGCAAGGGGCTTTCAAAAATCAAGTAATCCAAGATGAGGTACAAAAATTGTTAAAGATTGGGGTATTTCGTGAGGTAAAATATCCCAATTGGTTAGCCAATACGGTGGTCGTACCTAAGAAGAATGGTAGGTGGTGAGTTTGTGTAGATTATACTGATCTAAACAAAGCTTGTCCAAAAGACTCTTTTCCTTTACCGCATATAGATCAATTGATTGATGCAACTACAGGTCATGAACTTTTAAGTTTTTTAGATACATATTCGGGGTACAACCAAATTAAAATGGACCCCGGTGATGAAGAAAAGACTTTTTTCATCACAGACCGAGGGACTTACTGTAACAAAGTTATGCCCTTTGGTCTAAAGAATGCAGGGGCAACCTATCAAAGGTTGGTCACCAAAATATTTCAAGAAAATTTAGGTAAAACTATGGAGGTATATATAGACGATATGCTCGTCAAAACCTAGCATTCGAATGATCATATCTCTCATTTAAAAGTAACTTTTGAAATTTTGCAAAAATACAATATGAAGCTTAATCTTGAAAAATGTGCATTTGGAGTAGCGTCAGGTAAATTTTTGGGCTTTCTCGTTTCTAACCGTGGTATTGAGGTAAATCCTTCGCAGATTAAAGCAATTGAGGAAATACCTGATATACTTACTAATAAAAAGGAAGTTCAAAGATTAACAGGAAGGATCGCAGCTCTGGGGAGATTCATTTCAAAATCCTCAAAAAAGTGCTTCAAATTTTTCTCTGCTCTTAAAAAGCAAGATCATTTCGAGTTGAATGAAGATTGCCAACAAGCTCTTAAAGATTTGAAAGCTTACCTATCAAACCCTCATCTGTTAGCAAAACCGAAGGAAGGTGAAAAACTGCTCATCTACTTAGCAGTATCTGAAATAGCGGTAAGTGCCATCTTGGTTCGAGAAGAGCAAGGTAAACAATATCCTATTTATTATGTAAGTAAAACTTTGCTAGATACTGAAACGAGGTACCCACAATTAGAAAAGTTAGCTTTGGCTTTAATTATGGCATCTAGAAAATTGATACCTTACTTCCAATGTCACCCAATTATTGTTGTCACTACTTTTCCATTACGTAACATTTTGTATAAACATGAGCTTTCAGGAAGGTTAGCAAAATGGTTATAGAATTGAGTGAGTATGAAATTATTTATCAACCTAGAACTGCCATAAAATCCCAAGTACTTGCCGATTTCGTAGCTGATTTTAGTCAAGGCATGCATTTAGAAGCTGGAAAAGAGTTGCAAGTTTTTAATGGCGCAAATCCGGGGACTTGTGTATTATTTACTGATGGATCATCTAATGTAAAAGGGGCAGGTTTAGGAATTGTTCTCATACCACCTATTGGTGAAACCATTAGGCAGGCTATAAAATGTCATCCCGTAACTAACAATGAAGCAGAGTACGAGGCTGTGATTGCAGGTCTAGAGCTGGCACGAGAACTTGGTATAACACAGATTGTTATCAAGAGTGATTCCCAACTCGTGGTTAATCAAATGTTGGGGACTTATACAGCCAGGGAGGCACGAATGCAAGAGTATCTCGAAAAGGTGCGAGAATTGATAAGGAAATTCCAAACTTGGAAGGTGATGCAGATTCCAAGGGAGGAAAATACGGAAGCTGATGCTTTGGCAAATCTGGCATCTGCAGCGGACATAGCAAAGGATGCGAATGCCTCTGTTATTCACCTGTTTCACTCCGTCCTTGAACCCGATAAAAATGAGGTAAATTTTAGTCATTTGACATGGGATTGGAGAAATGAATTAGTGGCTTTTTGCAGTATGGAACCGTACCTGACAATAAAACAAAGGCTCATGCACTTCGCAAAAAAGCTGCCCGTTACTATTTGCACCAAGGAAACCTTTATCGAAAGATGTTTGGAGGACCTTTAGCAAGATGTCTCGGGCCTTCTCAGACGGAATACATTATGAGAGAAATAAATGAGGGACATTGTGGAAATCATGCAAGGGGTAGGTCATTGGTGAAAACATTAATCCGAGCAGGGTACTATTGGCCTAAAATGGAAGAGAAGCAAATGATTTCGTATCCAAATGTGATAAGTGCCAAAGGTATGGAAATAATATGCATAGGCCAGCTAAACTTCTTCACCCCGTCATAGCACCATGGCCTTTCATGAAATGGGGAATAGATATCGTAGGACCATTACCACAAGCTAAGGTTCAGGTAAAGTTTCTACTCGTACTTACTGATTACTTCACTAAATGGGTAGAAGCAGGAGCATTTAAACAGGTACGAGAAAAGGAAGTGAAAGATTTCATTTGGAGGAATATAATATGCCGCTTTGGAGTACCAAAAGAGATCTATGTGACAATAGCCCACAATTTATAGGAACGCAAGTCACAGAATTCTTTTAAAGTTGGCAAATCAAGAGGATAACATCAACACCATACCATCCCGTGGGTAATGGACAAGCAGAATCCACAAACAAGATCATCATCAATAACCTGAAGAAAAGGTTACAAGATTCAAAAGGAAATTGGCCAGAAGTGTTACCGGCAGTATTATGGGCATATCGAACGACGGCAAAAACAAGCACGGGCGAAACACCATTTTCAATGGTTTATAGAGCAGAAGCTTTAATATCGATGGAGATAAGCGAGACAAGTATACGACATGTTCAAGCAACGGAGAATTCAAATGATGAAGAGTTACGAGTAAACCTTGATCTACTTGAAGGGAGAGGAGAAACATCATTGATAAGGATGTCAGCTCAAAAACAAGTGATTGAAAGATACTACAATAGGAAGGCACGACTCAGGTTCTTTAAAGTTGGGGACTTCGTGCTTAAGAAAGTATTTCAGTCAACAAAGACGGCTAATTCAGGAAAACTAAATCCAACAAGGGAAGGGCCTTATAGAGTTCGTGAAGTTGCGGCGAAAGGAGCATATGAGTTGGAGACTATGGATGGCAAGGTTTTACCCTCACATTGGAATGCTGTTCATTTGAAGAGATATTACTTCTAGGAATACCGACGGTCAGGTATCGCCATGTTAAAAAATTTTCCTTTGAATTGTTAAAATTTTACTAACTATTTTAGATGCTAGGCAAAAACCCTAGCCCATGCCAAATGATGAGTCACGACCTGCACGACAGAACGTAATACTCTTAAATTCCCAGCCCAGGGTTACATTAATCTGATGGAAATACATATGAGTAAGACAGTCTTCATCTATAATCGCACCTCCGAATCCCGTATATTTTTCTGTTTCAGGAAAAGGACCAAATGAGTGAAAACACACAAGTGCTTGAGGCCTCACACTTCACCGCTCAAACACTTGGGGGACTATGTGTTATAACGGGTTTGTGTAGAATAATAGTTGCGAGCAAGCAAGGCAAGATTTAGAAAGAAAAATCAATCTACGAGAAGTCAAGATCAAGCTACGAGAAGTGAAGATCAAGTTACGAGAAGTCAAGCAAAATCGAAGATACGAAAAACTGTTATTAGTATTCATATCATCATAATGTTCTTTCTTATTAGAACAACGGAGTCATCTCTTTGTCACGACCCAAAACCCGATGGCGATTGCGCCCGGCCGTGAGGCTAGGCAAGCCCGACCATAAAACCCATAAGTCGAATAAAAGACATGAAAGAAACAATAAACTCAGCATACGTAAGATTCAGATACCAAAAACAAGAGATGCTAATACTGAATATATACAATAACCCCCTAGGAATCGGTGTCACAAGTCTGAGCCTCTAGGACAAAATCAAGTCTGATACAAAACATGTCTAGAGCTGAAAATATAGTGAAATACTTGAAATAAAGATAGAGAGAAGGAGAGTCGATGGCTGCGAACGCCGTGCAGCTAGCTCAACACTCCGAACAGCTATAACTGAGCTCCGCAAGATCTACTGTGCCTGAGTCTGACCTGGATCTGCACACAAGGTGCAGGGAGTAATGTGAGTACTCCGACCCAGTGAGTAATAATAATAAATAAGGCTCTGAAGATAAGAATTCACGATAAATACACAAGGTAAGCTATCTGTCGTGATATCACTATAACTACGCAGCACAAGTACATCAATAATTTATAAATAAGAACGATGGATGCCAGAATGCGATGCAATGCAACTGAAAATGCTCTATACGACCCACCAGATCTACCCACAAAGGGCCCACGGCGGACAAGTACCATCCCAGTCTCACCGGATCTACCCACATAGGGCCCACGGCGGACGAATACAATCCAAAGTCTCACCGAATCTACCCACATAGGGCCCACGGCAGACGAATAACAATATCAAGGTCCCACCGGATCTACCCGCATAGGGCCCACGACAGACAAATATCAATAGCAGAGTCTCATCGGATCTACCCTCGTAGGGCCCACGACGGACAAATATCAATAGCAGAGTCTCACCGGATCTACCCGCATAGGGCCCACGGCGGACAAATATCAATAGTAGAGTCTCACCGGATCTACCCATGTAGGCCCACGGCGGACATATAACAATATCAAAGTCTCACCGGATCTACCCACATAGGGCCCACGGCGGACAAATATCAATAGCAGAGTCTCACCGGATCTACCCGCATAGGGCCCACGGCGGACGAATACAATCCAAAGTCTTACCGGATCTACCCACATAGGGACCATGGCGGACATATAACAATATCAATTTCCAAGGGATGTATCAGGTCGGCACTAAGCCCCAAACACGGCATATACCCCAATTATAATGTCACAATGCGTGTATCATGCGCCAACATAATATAAAATCTTACTCAGGATGGACAAAGTCACAATCCCTAACAATGTATGACTCCACACAAGCCATGGAGTGCAAGTCACGCCTCAATATTGCGTTACAATGTGAAAGTCCGGGGTTTCAAACCCTCAGAACAACATTTATTAACATTACTCACCTCTAAGCCGGCCGTAGACTAGCCCGAAATGCCCTTTCCTTTAGAATTCCCTTCAACGAGCGCCGAATCTGGACAAAACCACAACGAATATACTATATAAGGCTAATGGAATGCAACCCCAATCGAAATATCTCGAAAAACATTGAAATTCGCGAAAATAGCAAAACCCGAGCCTCTGGCCCACGTCTCGATATTCGAAAATTTTTTACATCAAAATGATCCTCGTCTCGCCACGAGTCTATACATATAAATTTCATCCAAATCGGAGTCCATTTGACCTCTCAAATCATCATTTAAAGTCTTAGAAATTCAAGCCCTAGCTCTTAACATTTTACCCCATTTTCAATGATTTGAAGCTTGATTCTATGATAAAAATGCGTAATAATGACGTGAGACTTACCTCCAAGGACTTCCCAGTGAATCCCCCTTCAATTCCCGTCAAGAAGCCCTCAATGAGTCTCTCAAATGGTGAAAAATTAGATGAACTCGCGGGTAGGATCTTCCCTTATAACTTAACTGGGCCTGGCGTATCCTTCTATGCGATCGCAATGGGGCCATGCAATCGCATAGAGTAACCTTAGACCCCTGCTGATTTCCTTCAATGCGATCGCATGAGAAGCCTTGCGATCGCATACCAGCCACCCCCAAAACCAGTACGATCGCATACGTTGCCGTGCATTCGCATAGAACGACTGACCTCGCCCATGGACCTGACCACTTAACCTTATGCGATCGCGCCCTACCTCTGCGATCGCAGAGCACAAAACCATGACCCCTTCTACACCTCCTATGTGATCGCAACAGCACCATGCGATCGCATAGTGCTGCAACGTCTGCTGCACACAACAGCTCTTGCCTGAACCAAATTTCAACCCGCTAGGCATCCGAAATCATCCCGAGGCTCCTGGGACCTCAACCAACAACACAGACTCCTCCTAAAACATCATTCAAACTTGCTCGGGCCATAAAAACGCTATCATAAACGTCAAAAATCATCAAAATTCAATGAATTCAATTTCAAATGAACTTAAACTTTCAAAATACTAATCCGATCAAAAACCCGACTTAGACATCTCCGAATTCTCTGAAAATTTGCATACAAGTCCAAAATCACCTAACAAAGCTGATGCAACTGTCGGAATTTCATTCCGACCCCCGGATCAAATTTTGACCTATCAACCGGATTCTTCCAAAATTCCAACTTCGGCAAACTTAGTTAACTTTCACACCGGGCCTCCGAATTCAATTCCGTTTTCTCTCCTAAGTCACAAATCATCCCCCGGAACTAGTCGAGCAATCGGAAATCCGTTCCGAGCCCTCTAACTCATAAGTCAATGTTGGGTTGACTTTTCCAACTTTAGCTTTTCCTAAAGAGACTAAGTGTCTCATTTCTATCTAATTTCCACCCGCACCACTTCAAACTCATCAAACACGAATAACAACACACGGGGAACCATATTACGGGGGTCACGGGNCATCCCCCGGAACTAGTCGAGCGATCGGAAATCCATTCCGAGCTCTCTAACTCATAAGTCAACGTCGGGTTGACTTTTCCAACTTAAGTCTTCCTTAAAGAGACTAAGTGTCTCATTTCTATCTAATTTCCACCCGAACCACTCCAAACTCATCAAGCACGAATATCAACATACGGGGAAATATATTACGGGGGTAACGAGACTGAAATGCAATAAATGACGGGTCGAGTCATTACATTCTCCCCAACTTAAACAAACGCTCGTCCTCGAGCGTACTCAGAGCTGTACTAGAAGCAACCCAATAGCGAAATGACCTTACAAGTATATACCCAGGGTGATTCCACATCACCTTAACCCACGTTGGTACCAATAACCCAACACAACTGAAATTTCATATTCCATCTGAATCATGAACCATAGAACCACACTGCACTCCTCGAATCGTACACAAGATCAGAAATTTACATATATACTCCGAATTAATCCGAACTAGCAGTGTTAACCCACACCCGCAATCCTCAGGTGAATTTATACAATCTACCACACATTTCAACACTCGGAACGATAGTCTCTATTCATAGCAGCTGCCCACAATACTCAATGCAAATAGATCACCTCTTATTTAGCTAGAGTCTTATTCCAACACTTTCATATGCTGCCAAGGATAACCAAAACACGCAATGAACTGTAAAAACTCTTTAATTCAACCATTCCTGAAGTCACTTCCATGCTGACTATTACTACGACAGATTTTTGAACCAAACCTCGATATTATCTTTCTAACCAGCCGAAGCCAAATCTGTTCATATTCATTAATGACCCCACTGATTGCCACGAATTTAATACACCACTTCTGGTGATGCGATACCTCAATAACTGCCTAAGCCATCACTGCATAATACACACGCCAACAAGAAATAGTCTACACATACCCAAATCAGGGCAAATGACTCAACCAGAAGAGTTATACCTCAAGTTCATCAATTTCTTTCACAAAACAAGTTGAGACCTCATCTCGTATCATAGGGATACATTAACGGAACCCTCCTCGAAAGGTCATAACTTCACGTGGCCTTGCCACAACATGCGATCCCAATCTCAACTCTATTGCACAAGAACTACCTCGTGTTATCATGCTCAAATGGACAGCCATGCACAGATCGATGCCCGAAACTTAATCACCCATTACACTCACGGTGAAACAAATGATATACACCATTCCGTCCTGAAAGGACACCACCGATACGCTATTTGCCAAGCAACTCTCAATACGGATTTCCCTCGAAAGCCAGGAAGTAAGGAATACACATCATCTCATGGAAAGCTGTTCTCAACATCACACTGTTGCGGTGCGCAACCCGATCCAGATAACATACTCGTGGCGGTGTGCCACCCGATCCACGCAACATACCTCACATAGGGAGGTGCACATAGAGCCGCATTTGCTCATAACAACAAAATTCTAACATCGGTCGTAAGCAACTGAGTGCATAAGGATATTCATATAAGTGTTGCAAGCTACAAATCCCACTTCCACTACTATACTCATACCAGAGTTATACGATATGGTGTCCGGCACCGAATAATTACTGAAGTCCACAGTCTCGCCCGACGACATGC